CACTTACCCTTAATGAAAATTGTTTAGTAGTGTCTAGGCCAATGATGTCATATCGTCCAGGTTTCTTGATTTTATCCTTTCCACCACCAGATCCTGATTCCAAAGCTCCACTCACAGGAGCAGAGCAAAGCACCACAGTCACCGCTGCACCACGATGTCTAAGCCACAACTGCACCAGGAGGCACATCAGAAACAAGATCACCACTTAAAACCTGCAGGAACGTGAAGTATGCTTTAAAGTACAAATTTTATCACATAAGCCAACTATTATGAAGGATAGCAAATGCCAACCCAAATGTCCTCCGCAGTCAGGTGGTGTGCAATGGCCCTAATTGCACCAGCTGTTCCCACATCCTCAGGGACTGCAGCAACCTGCAATATCAAGAAAACAAATAACAAATTAAACTATAAATAGGATAGAATCACATGGTTAGAACTTAGAATAATTGCATTTAAGTACAATATGGCACACCCCAGATTTCAGAGAAAACATGATTATAAGCTGTGAAAGAGAAGCAATCGAACATTTTGTAGCTAATCATCCAACAAATGAAACCATCCAGATACCTCAACATGTAGACGATCAAAAAAAGCCCCAGATATCCAACCACCAACATGGAGTGCCGCATCTTTGCCCTCTACCACCTACGCCAAAAACACTCCAAGCTAATCAGGAACATCAAAATAACAATCGAATTAGAAAGTGTAGGAAGAACGAAGCTTACAACAATCAGATCCTTGAGGGATTTTGCTCCAGATGGTCCAAAATGTAAGAGATAACGGGACGGTTCGCCACCGGAAGCAGCGCTTTGGGAACCTCCTGCGCTCCAAGTGCAAAAGAAGAATTCAGCAATGATTATAGAATGGATTGGAACCAAAAATCATGAAAAAGGAAGAGTCGGAGGAAGACCTTGGAGACGAGAGGAGCGAGATTCTTCGAAGTGCTGCCGGCTAGAAGCACCACCTGGAAATCCATCGGAAAAACCAGTGGGGTAATAGAAGGAAAAAGATGGAGGCTTTCAGTGGGGTTTTGCTGAATTACCAAAGTAATTTCATTGGTTATTGGGCTCTGTTTGGGCCGTCGGTTCTCGGTTTTATTTTTAATTCCCAGACTGTTGTTATTTGGTTTGG